GCATGATCCAGCAGTGGATTATCTCTGGGTTCTGTGAGATTCACCAAAGAATATGGATCATGTGAGAGCTGTTTAAAGCTCACACAGCACACGCATTGCTTCAGGGCTGAATATGCAAAATGCTGGCCAGCACACACAGGCATGCTCACCAATGCTCAGACAACCCAGGGAAGCTGATCATGCAAAACAGCTCATTGTGTGGGTGATGGTTCAGAAGAAATCTTTCTGTTTTGAATGCCCTTTTTGTTGTTAAAGGCTCTGTTGCTAGGACAACAATTTTAGACCATACTGAGGCCAAAGTTTACAACAAAAATTGAGGCTATTTCAAAGGATATTTGTTACAGACTACATTGATTTGTAATGTTGTGCTCTGCAGTTAAATTAGGACACATGGGGGTGGGGGGGCACACACACCAGCTCCACAGTGACTTTTGAACACATTTTTAATTGGTTTGGGGAAATGGGAATGCACATTGCTTTGAATTCCTCAGTGAAGTGACTGCAACAGATACTCTGCAAGGAATCTAAGGAACTGTGTTTCCTGCTCTGGTGTGTTTTATTAACATTAAAGCAAATGTAACATAACATGACCAAACAAATTGCTTAAGAGCTTTCTGAATTACCAAACAGCTGGTCACTATGAGGCCATCATGGACCTTCTTTCTGCAGGTCCATTATAAGAAGCAGCAGTGCATCCTCCTGTCCTGGTGTGATTCTGAAGTCTGTCTTGTGAGTTCACTCCAGTTTCTTAATCATTCCAGAGTGCTGAGCACTGGCTCAGGGGACTGACAGCACTAGAACTTATAAAGGCAATAAGTTTCACTTCTGATTAGAAATCAGCACTTCACTTCTGATTAGAAACCAGCACAGTCTTTTGGGCTGCTAGCCAGACAAATGAGCAGTTTCTGTTCCTGAAGACACTTGGTGTGACATATCCCCCTATTTCTTTCACGGCCACACCCTATCCTAGGTAATGATCATAGTAATTGCACTGGCAACAGTAAGCAGCTATTTATTTTGCTACGCACTGGGAGAACTCTCCCCTCTCTGCAGCACAAATATTTTTCACTCACTAAGGCCCTCTGCAGTTAGAATATTTATAAAGATTCCATGACATCACAGAGATGCAACCACAACTGTAATAGTCAAAGTGGCTGTCAGACAGGCAATAGCTCTGTAAATACAATTAATTGTGACTTCATAATTAAACTCAAGTTTACACAATAAAAGTACCATGTAGATGAACTATAGACAGGGTTTCAGTGGATACCTTAACATATTATACCTCACGAGGATGGGGAAAAGGTCCTTTGGAGATGCTCTAGTGAGCTTCGTCCAGAAGACTTTAAACTGAGCTGGGGGGGGGGTTCAGTCCCCCCAGTAACGTGTCTGCACTGGACAAGTGTGGGGGGGGGATCAGGGCTCTGGGAGCAGGGTTTTAGAGATACTGCAGGGACTGACAGGACTCCTACAGAGAGGGGCCAGGTACCAGGGAGGATGGGAGGAAGGAGGAGGCTGGGAACTCCAAGGAAAGGAAGTGGTGGGAAGGAGTTGAGGTGCATGTACACCAATGCTAGGAGCATGGGTAATAAGCAGGAAGAGTTTGAAGCTCTCCTGGGAATAGGAGAGTATGATCTGGTGGGAATCATAGAAACTTGGTGGGATGAAAGGCAAGACTGGAATGTGAACACAGAAGGGTATCACCTTTTTAGAAAGGACAGGAAGGGAAAGAGAGGTGAGGGGGTGGCTTTATAGGTCAGGAAAGGAATAGGATGCAGTGGGATAGAATGCAGCACAGGTGGAGATTTGGTAGAGGCAGTCTGGGTGAAACCTAGGGGTTTTGACAGGGAAAGAGACCTGACAGTGGGGGTATGTTATCACCCTCCAGGTCAACTTGAGACCCTGGATGATGCCCTGACAGACCAGATTCTAAGGATATCTCAGGAGAGAGACACAGTAATTATGGGAGATATCAATCTCCAGGATATTACTTGGGAGACTCACTCGGCGGTGACAGCCAGGTCACGTCGCTTCCTAGAAGCTATAGAGGGAGGGTTTTTCACACAGAGGGTCCGAGAGGCGACGAGTGGGGGAAACATCCTTGACTTGGTCTTGACCAATAGGGAGGAGCTGATAGATGAAGGACAGATTAGGGGAGCTCTGGATGCGAGTGATCACTCTATCCTTTGCTTTATGATCAGGGGACTGGGGACGGGCAGCAGGTTGAGCACTAGAAGCTGGGACTTCAAGAAGGCCAACTTTGGCCAACTGAAGGCCAGACTGGGGAAAGTCTCCTGGGATAGGTTATGGGAAGGTAAGCGAGTTGAGGAGGGGTGGATGGCACTCCAAAGGGAGGTTTTGGAGGCACAAGCCTTGACGATACCTCTGGTCAGTAAGGTGGGGAGGCAGAGGAGAGTGCCACCATGGATGCGAAAGGAGGTGGTTAGAGGGATTAGACGAAAGAGGAACCTCCGTAGGAAATGGGTACTGGGGGAAATAGACAAAAGGGTATACCAGGAGGAGGCGGCCCATTGCAGAAGGATTCTTCTAAGGCTGATTACGAGGCTAAGGCTGATTATGAGCTGAGACTTGCCAAGAATATCAAGAGCAACAAAAAGGGCTTCTTTCAGCATGTAAACAGGAAGAGGAAGGGGAGACAAGTGGTGGGACCACTAAATAAGGAGGAAGGAGATCCAGTGACTGATATGAGGGAACAGGCACAGATGCTAAATGACTATTTTGCCTCTGTGTTCTCCCCAAAGCAGGACGGGGGATATTGGCATAGGAGATTAGAAGAGGCCGGGGACTTAGGGGCACAGATTAGAGTCACCCCCCTTGAAGTCGAGGGGCTCCTCAGGGCACTGGACATTACAAAGGTGCCAGGCCCTGACAGGTTACACCCGAGAGTACCTAGAGAGTTGGCAGGGGTTCTCTCACGCCCGCTGGCCTCCATTTTTGAGGCCTCGTGGAGAACGGGTGAAATTCCAGAGGACTGGAGGGTGGCATCAGTGGTCCCAATTTTCAAAAAGAGTAGTAGAAAGGACATGGGGAATTATAGACCGGTTAGCCTTATGTCCATTGTAGGAAAAGCAATGGAAAGGCTCATAATACAGAGAGATCTAGTGATGCTAGATAGGGAAGGGAGGCTGACAGCCACGCAACACGGCTTCCGCAAAAACAGGTCCTGCCAGACAAACCTTGTGGAATTCTATGACAAGGTTTCGAGATGGCTAGATGGAGGGGATGCAGTGGATGTGGTATACCTGGATTTCAGCAAGGCCTTTGACAAAGTGCCCCATGATATTCAGGTGGAGAAACTGAGGAGTTTTGGGATACACCAAAGCACTGTCTGGTGGATTAGGGCATGGTTGACTGACTGAAAGCAGAAGGCAACCATTAGCAGGGAATCATCAGGATGGCGGCCAGTGACAAGCGGGGTCCCCCAGGGCTCTGTCCTGGGGCCGATCTTGTTTAATCTTTTCATTAATGACATGGAAGAAGGGGTGAACAGTCTGCTGATCAAATTCGCAGGCGACACTAAAACTGGAGCAGTGGCCACAACTGAGGAGCAGGTAGTCCAGATCCAAAAGGATCTGGACAGACTATGGAAGTGGGCAGGAGACAACAGGATGGCGTTCAATGGGGATAAGTGCAAGGTCTTGCACTTGGGGCATAGGAATAGCTGTCATGAGTACAGGTTAGGGGACAAGTGGCTGGAGAGCCGCAGTTGTGAAAGGGACCTCGGGGTGCTGGTTGACTGCAGGCTAAACATGAGTCAGCAGTGTGATGCGGTGGTCAAGAGGGCAAACACCAACCTTGGTTGCATAGCCAGAAGTGTGGCTTCTAGATCAAGAGAGGCATTACTACCACTCTACACGACTCTGGTGCACCCGCACCTGGAGTATTGTGTTCAGTTTTGGGCCCCTCATTACAGAAAGGCTATAGCCGGGTTGGAGTCAGTGCAGCGTAGGGCCACAAGGTTGGTGGCCGGTTTGCAGGGGATGCCGTATGAGGTGAGACTGAGGGAACTGGGTCTCTTCAGCCTGGAGAAGAGGAGACTCAGAGGGGATATGTTGGCAACATACAGGTATGTGAGGGGATGTCACACGGAGATGGGTAGAGACCTGTTCTCCCCTGCAGAGGAAGGCAGGACCCGCTCCAATGGAGCAAAGCTCAGGGAGCCAAGGTTCCATTTGGATGCCAGGAAGCACTTCCTGACAGTCAAGACCCCGAGGGTGTGGAATGGGCTTCCACGAGAGGTCGTTGAGGCCCCATCGGTGCGGGTGTTCAAGGATAGGCTGGACGTCCAAATGGTGGGCATGTCGTGAGTGGAGGCGGCTGGTGCCGGAGGTCAGACTAGATGGCCCAGGAGACCCGTTCTGACTCGCTCTGTTTCTATGTTTCTATGTTTCTGTATCTCTGGTCAGGTTGAGCCCAGTTACAACCTACTATGCCATGGACTGTAGTTGCTATTTACACATTTCATTCCAGACACATTGTTCTGTTCTTTCACCTATAGCTGAGCTGTCATTGTCTCCCCAAAATTGACCTTGAAGACACTAGACTGAGTCATAACTGGTAGCAGATAACATAATATAACCGACACATGCCCAAACCATGTTTAGGAAGTCAATTTAAAAAGAAACATTCAGTACCTAGGAGAAGAAAATAAAACCAGACCTCTTGCATCAAAGCCTGGTATAGTATCTTTGACTTACAGGAACCTGTGGAACTGAGATATAGCAAGGCCAAGCTATCTTGTGTATTGAAATTATGTATTGAACTTGAATGCACTTAGGTTCAGATAGATGGTGCAAAGGTGATGGCTGTACAGGAGGGTTCTAGGATTTTCCCAACCATTGTTTCACCATTGCACAAAGCCTTGAGGCAGTTAAAGTTCTCTGTGGCAACACCAGCTTTTAAAACAATAAAGTACCCAATTAGAATGTACAGCAAGAGGTAATGTTTTGGGTTTTTTTCTTGATCTATACTTGATTTACCTGAGCTGAGAAGTCAATGAGTTTGGGAAGTTGTAATTTTCCACCTTCTGTACTCTTCAGAAAATCCAGTAAGCTACCTGAGTGGATAAAGCAAGTGTAAGATTAGTTGGCAAGAAACAAAAGCAAAGCAGGTGTTCTAATCTTTGAGTGAGTAAAACAGAAATTCATTTATGCATTTTGCAAATTAGGACACGTGACCTGAGATTTTACACATTATATGCTTTTCAGCTTTCTGTTCCCCCAAACCAAGCCAGAATGATTTAAGAACTGTTCTTGTGAATGCAGCATGTTAATGTGCATTAAACAAATGATATGATCATAATACCTAACAATTACATCTAAAATGCTGCATGCATTAAAGAAAAAAAGATGGAACAGGCCAGGTTTTGCTTCTGCTACTATTACTATTTAAATGAGCACTGTCTTGTTCGAAAACTTCCCATGTATCATAAGGACCCTATTCAGCAATACAACTTTATTAATGTTCTTTTAAACCACAGAACCCTACTTCTCTGGACAGTGTACAATACATCAACACATAAAATGCAAATGATCAATAACAAAACCAAGTCAAAACCATCAGCAAAGAATAAACGCTCTACTGTATATAAAGCTAAGGTAAAACCAGCAGCAAAATAAGAGTGCTAAGTTCTAAAACTAAAAACAGTTCTTAAAATGCCTGGAAAAACAAAAAAACTTAGTCTAGTAGCAAAATTATCATAATGTAGTTGCCCTGTAAGTGTGTCTATGGAGAATGTTCCATAAATGGGGGGCAGCCACTGAAAAGTCCCTCTTCTTACCAGCTAGCCCCACCTTGCCTAATGTGGCAGGGCACATGGTGGAGGGCTTCAGACAATGGCCATAAGGCCCAGGTACATAGATATGGGAGGAAATGGTCCTTTAAGTAACCTGGTCCCAAACCATTTAAAGTATTAATGGATTAAACCAGCACTGGTTAATCAAGTCCAGAAGTGGACTTGCAGCCAGTGCTGATGGCAAGTTCTAGCATAGAATGATCACCCTGTCCAGTTCCAGTTACCAGTCTAGCCACCGTGTTCTGGACCAAGTGGAATTTCAGAGGCAGCCCCATAAATCCATACAGGCAGTTACCAGAAAGTAAATTATTGTCACTAGATAGGGTCATAGCTGGTGTTGTCAGCCTAAGCTGATAAAAGGTGGCTCAGACCCTGATGGATCTAAGAGCACCTTCTCTGAACCTGCTTCTTTAGTTTTTGTGCAACTACCTGTAAAGAACAAGCTGAACTCCACTTAACCAGACAAATGAGATGCCCACAACCAGTATCTCTGCCTTTTCTGGACTGAGATGCAATTTATTTACCCTGTCTAAACAATGGTCCAGAATTATCAGCTACCTCACTTGTATTAGACAAGAGTGAGAGCTTCAGGGTTATACGCATATTGGTGACACCTCAGTCCACATCCCTGGATAACTTGTCCCCTGTTTCAGTTCAGGTGCCACTGCCACACTAAACCATAAGTATGCTTAGGTGTGATGCCTGTTTGTAATCAGCCAGCAAGCCAGAATCAGAAAACATGGTATGCAGAGAATTGCAAATTATGGTTTGGTGCTAGTGTCTGAACAGATAAGCAATAGTTACAGCAGACAGGAAACATGAAATGCTCTAAAACAGCATTCTTCAACCTAGAATCTTCTTGAAGTTTTTTGGACTTCAAATCCTATCAGTGCAGCTGGATCAAGAATTTTGAGAGTTGCCATCCAAACCATCTGGAGTGCACCAAGCAAGGTAAAGCTACACTAAAATCATGGGTTGCTGAGGAAATACATAATGATAGCAGACAGGCATGTCTAAATTTTTTCTTGCCTGGACCTCTGGCATAATTCTTTAGGTTTCTAAACCATGTTTAGTGCAAACCATCGATTGGTATAGTCTTTGAGTGCCAACTAATTCTATTGGCACTCAAAATTTGCCCATTGGTGGTGCTTTGCATTACAGAGGCCCACACTGCATGGTGGAAAGCTAAAAAAAAACCTTCCATAATTATGTGCATTCTATCTCATAAAACAAGCATTCAAATTATAATCTATTTTAAGTTCTGGAGTTAAGTGTTCAAACAGGGTAGAATTTTACCCTTGTGCTAAGCTATATTACCTTAAGGAGCAGAAACTGTCATTTTAGACATAGGCCCCCACATGAATGGAGGTGAATACTGTTTTACTCCTAAATGAAATTTGCAATTTGGGCTGACAAGCTACAACTACTGCTCATTCAGATATGTGCATTTACCATTCAGTTAGACCTGTACACACCGATATTGAATGCATAAAAGCTGGATCAAAACTAGGAACGTCTTGCCCTAGAAACATACTTGATCTGACATACTGGCTTCCCACATGGCTATAAAAAAGAGCATAATGGCTCACGGTATTGATGGCTTGAGTGGAAGGAACTTATGTTTGAAAGAATCTAAAATTGTAAGATAACTTGGCACATTCTTCCACAATGTGAGCTTTTCAGCTATTTGTGTATACAGTGTGTTGCAGTGAATTAATGTGAAATACATTTCATTGAAGATAAGATGCGGACCTTGTGAAAGAAAAATGTAGGTCTTTTAATCCATGCAATAGCTTCCGTATTATTTTTTAAAAGTATCTGCAGTTAGCATACTGCAAATGCAATGGTACACATTCACAGATACACAAGTGGTTCTTTTCCACAGTGAATTCATCAATACTCACCTTTGGCCATGTACTCAGTTATTATATAAATAGGTTCTTCTTTAGTGACTACAGCGTATAGTCTGACCAACTTGTCATGCTGAAGTGTTTTCATGAGGTTAGCTTCCTCCAGGAATGCTTGCACAGACATTGTGCCAGGCTTCAGGGTTTTCACAGCTAATTTGGTATTGTTATTGTAGTAACCTAGAATGAAAGAGATTATTATGGGATTCAGAGAAATTACACAGATGGTCAAAAGTTTGTTAGGAGATATCTTTAATAGTTTCTCAAGAAGTCCCATTGTACGTATCCTGACATGTCACTGTTTTCCTGGACTATATGTACACGCTGGTCTGATTTGCTCCTTCCCTTTCTAAAAGGTTTTTCCTTAAAATCATATTTTATAGCATACACTTTCAAATACATTTTGGCTGGTAGAAATACAACTTTGGCTAGATCTAGACTTGATTATACTTCTGTCAGACCCACTAAATTAAGTAGTTCTTAAGTTAGTCATGTTACATTTCACATTGCTTTAGATTTTATGGGTTTATTGTCTATTTTGTATTTCAATTGTTTTGATGTCTTTTTATTGTGAGCTTTCCAGTGTATGGTGTGGGCGGCACAAAAATTCATAAATAAATAAATATTAAAAATTGAAAACACCTAGCAAACAACTATCTTGAAGCATATAGTTCTTTCTGCATACGGCAAACTGGAACAGAAATGAGTGAGGTTTCATAACGCAGGAGGGGATACTTTCCTGCAGAACAAGCCCAATTTTTGTCTTGCTGCTGGTCTCTAAGCTACAATGCCCAAAGTCCTTTTCTGATCACACTGTAGAAAAATAAATAGAATTAGGCTGTTAATCTCTTTAGTACATCAGAAGGGGAAGGGGCAAACCTATGTCTCCTGGAAGGCAACTGAGGGGTCAGAGAGTAGTTTGGATTCTCTGAGCTCAAGTTGAAGGCTGCATTCCAGTCTCAGGTAGAGAAATCAGCTCCAACCTCCTCCCTATCTCAGCTGGTGTGGAAACAATTGTGTCAGTTGCTCTCAGAGGTTAGGAACTCAACCTTGGACAAAGGGAGGTGGTGATGTTTTGGTGGGGAGGGGAGGGGACACCTGGAGAAGCCAGGATACAAGGCAGTCCTGAGGTCCCTGCAGCCTCTTTACTGATGCCTCTTAGGTAGACTGTCAGAAACATCCATCTAGCCATAGCAACTGGACAGAGGATGCGGGAGTTGAAGATTGCTCTGTTGCTCCTCTTACCCTACATAGCATACATGTAAGCCTCGAGTCTGCAGCTTACAATAATCATGTGTGCAACTCACAGGATGTCAGTGGTTCCTTCATAACAATGCTGTTTAAAAGGAAAAAAACGAATTCTTTTTGCGTTTTCTGTCACAGTTTTTTCTGCAATGTTTATTACATGTTTCCTTTGCTTTTCCTCAAGAATCTCAGAGTGGCATATGTGACTCCACTTATAAAGGGTGGTATCAGTGCAGCAAGTTAGCCAAAGAGCTAGTGATTGACTCAAAGTCATCCACCAAACTTTACAGATGTTTAGAAATGATCTGGGCCTGGGTCTCCTTGATAGTTCAACACCCTAATTACAATGCTACACTGGCACTCAGTGTAGTCATTAACAGATTTGACTGGGATCCATAACTCTGACCCTCAAATTTAAAAGAACACATACAGAAATAGATGACCAAATCTTGGTATCTTAGGGACAAAAGAAAGATAATAGGATCAACATTGTATTAATAGCATCAATCACAGTAGACATCATTCAGCTCTACAAAGATTTTTAAATAGATATTATCTAGAACTGAAGTATCCAGAAAGGGGTAGTGAACAGAGTGTTGGACTGGTACTCTGGAAATCTGGGGTGTTGTCCCCACTGAGCCATGAAGCTTGTTGGGTGATTTCGAGCCAATAATGGACTCTCACAGGAGAAAAGGGTCATTTTTAGGGTAAAGTATTATTAGGGACTTTCACTGAAAGTACAGATTAGAAAAATGTTATAGTCAAAACACATAGCAATAAGCACCTTGAAGTGGCAATTCAGTGGCAAATGGCAAAGTAATCTGCTGGTTCTTTAAAGACCTTAGGTCTCCACTGAGCAATTCCTACAGTGCCTGTTTTAGTCCCCATCCCTACCTCTTTCTGGGAAATTTACCCTCTAGCATCTGCACAGAAAAAAAATATCTTGAACTTCTTCTCCCACAGAACTTCTCTCTTGGAGTAATTTTCTCTTTTTTGGATAGAAATTCCCCAAAAGAATCATGTGTGAAAGTCTACCTGATTCTCTATTCACTGTTCATCAAAGATTCCCCATTGTCTGGACATCAGGACAATTGACCAGTTAAAGGGTTTGTGAATTCTCTTATTGTGTATGTGGGTGGATGCGTGCATGTGTCAAGACCTCAGTCATGGCATTCACATCTGAGTGCCAGCATCTGCTTTTTAACAGAGGCAAGCAATTGATCATAAAATGGAGGTTTCTTCCTCTTGGGCAGGAGAATGATGATGTAAGTCTGGTCTGGATGAGTGGACTACTCCATGCTGACCATAACATCCTGAGCCAATATACAGAATTTTGTGAAGCACTATCATCTGCATGAGATACAACTAATTTCAGGAAGTTGTGCTCCTGCATACATGAAAGCAAAAGTAGAGGGGGTGTTGCTGGTTCAAGATGTTTCCTCTTGTTTATGTCAGCCTCTTTGACATCTAAAATTGGTTTAATGTGGTTCTAGGCAAGCTAATGTATGAAAAGTTGTTTGCATAGTGGCGAACCTTTTAATTCTAACAATCTTAGAACCGAACAGCATAATTGTGTGGTTCCAGTTGCTCTTGACCTCAAGTAAGACCAACAGTCCAATTGGCCTCTAAGGACAGTTTGTTTCTGAATGACTTTAGACTGGTCTAGGAATAGAAACTTAATGAAGTGGAGGCTAACAAAGATGTATGGTGCCAGTGAGAAAATTCCATTTGGAAAAAATCTAGAAAAGTGGTTGCCAACTGTCTACTAAAATCAAACACAGGCACTTTAAACCTGCCAAATATATTGTGGCATGAACTTTCATAGGCAAGAGCCTACCCAGTTTCATCATACACATGAAGTGTTCAGGAGGGCATAAGCATTTGGGCTCTGATGGAGGCAAGAAGGGAACTGTTTGCAAAGGGGATGAACAGTGCAATGATGTCTGCTCAAGATACACATGTACAGGAATTCAGTGGGGCTTTCTCCCGTGTAAGTGGGTACAGGGCTGCTTTTGAGGAGTATAGAAATTAAACAAACAATTAGCAGCCTAAAAAAGTGGTCAGAGGGGATACCAGTTGACCTGATGAACTGAAATCTGGCACTGGGTCTCCACAAAGATATAGTTTTGAATGGGTTTATCAAAGAGCAAATGCTCCAAGGATTTCACCAGCTGATGATGCTCAAAACACATAACCACATGATAGAAGATGCATTTTCTGTTTGCTAACAAAACTGTGGTCACTGTGATAGGGTGGAGAAGGGAAAGTCCTACAGAGTACAGACAAGGCACCTGATGTTAAAGGAAAAGGATCTTGCCCCACCCTCAGGATCAACTAAATACAGCTTCCTGCAAACAAGGAACCATTCAAGGGATGCTGCAGCAATCCCTGCACCCTTTAACCCAATTCTAGCTGTCACTGCTACATGCTCAGGGAAATACTAGCACTACCTTTCTGGCCTCTCCATCCTCCCATTACTATGGTGCACTTGTTTCTGGGGGTTGAGAAATAGTCAAGACAATGGGTTGTCCATGCAAATGCATTTGAACACCTGCCTCTGATTAGTTCTAGTCCTGTTTTGCAGGGAAATGCATGCCATGTTTCAGTATTAAGACATTATAGTCTATTGATTCTCTCTCACCTTTCCATCCCACAAACTCGAACCTAAAAATAACAGTAATTTAATGCACAATAGTTAAGCTTCCTTAAACCATGGTTGGGCATGACATGTGAATGGGTTTTAAGACAGAGCCAATGGGTAAGGCAGCTCCTCTATCATATTTGATTGACAACATAAAAAAAATAAATTTAAATTATCCATAAATGACTTGCTCTGGCACATAACCCACTATGTCCAAAACCTCTTGTTATATTTTATTTAGCTGAGACCTTAGTATATACTTGTTATGGCAATACTTTTAGTATATATTGCTGTTGTGAGCTGCCCTGAGGCTTCGGTGAATGGGGAGGCATAGAAGCTTGCTAAATAAGAAATAATAATAATAATAATAATAATAATAATAAATAATAAATAATAATATAGTATCTTTATACTTTCCCAGGTGGCCTATGATGTTCACAGAATATAGAAACATAGAAACAGAGTGAGTCAGAAGGGGTCTCCCGGGCCATCTAGACTGACCCCCGGCTCTGCTCACGACATGCCCATCTTATCTTAATGCAGGAGAAGGGGAAGGAATGCATCACCTTGAGGATGCAGATGAAATATGCATACACATGCATCTATATTTCTTCATCACAGACAGGGCTGAGAAACGAAGCTCTTCAGATCAGGCTTCCTTAAACTGGTGCCATGGACTGTAACCCCCAGCATGCCTAACCAATGGCCATGCTAACTGGGACTGATAGGAGCCTAAGCGCAAAATATCTTGGAGAAGGACCCAAACTGGGGAAGGTGGTGCTAGATGTTTTGACCTAGAACTTCCATCAGAGCTGGCTAGCATGGCCAATCGTATGTAACTATGGGAGTTGTAGGCCACAACATCTGGAGGGCCATTTTGATCATTCTTGATTGGAGGTTTAAATTGCTTGTTCCCAGTTTAAAGGTATTGGTTTGGGGAACAATTTGTGCCATCTTTACAAAAGCATAAAACTACTTCATTTCCTGTGTTTCATCACTTTAAAAAGAAGGAACAGCACCGTTAGCAACCTAGCATGCCATTACTGTGGAGTAAGAAGTATTTACATGTTGCTATGCATCCCAGCAGCTCTCAACATTAAACAAACAGCTTACCCATCCAGACTTCTCCAAACTGGCCAGCTCCAAGCTTTTTCACTAATTTTATTGATTCCCGAGGGATCTCCCAGGCATCTTTATCCCATGGTTTCTGTGGTTTGGGATTAATGCATGCTTTCTCCAGTTTTCTGCATAAGCCATCTGGTTGCTCTGTTTAAGTGACAAACATCCTATATTTGTACTTTAAGCAAAAAAAGTGCATAGTAGCAAAAAGCATACGTCCACTTATGCACTATATTCAGACTTAATCTATCCTGTTAAAAAGAATCCTTAAAAGAAATTTTGAAAACCTCAAATTGTCAAAGCTGCAACACAATTCTGAAAAAAATACCCGCATTACTGCACTGGTTATCTCCACCTGATCCCAACATGATGCAGCACTAAAAGCAAAGGCTATGGGACAAAGCAACCTTCAACCTTCTGTGTGGCAACACTTGTACAGGAGCTACTGTCAGTTAAAAGTGCCATTTGCACTGCCTGCATTTGCTATGAACATGAAGGTGCTTTATCTGCAGCAACATAAGGCATAGTTTGTACTTCACATAGATTATTGACAGCTATTAATAGCAAACACATTGTAAACACATCTATGTCCTGTAAAAAGTCTGTTTTGGTCATCAAGGCAGACAGAAGGGACCTTTTTAAAATCAAAGCTGGCATGCCTTTCATTCTTAGAAAATGCACTCTTGCGAGATTGGCAAAAACCATTTATGGTTCCCAAATACAAACACAAAATGGCAGAACTATCCTATGGTATTTAAGGTCCACCACAAGACTGTTCCAAATAATGGCTTTCCCAAACAAGTGAAAACAAATATTTTCTTCTTCTTGGAAAAGCAAGAATTGCAAATTGTCAATGAAAAGTTACTGTGGATTAGTGAGGTTGTACTCCCTTAAAACATCAACAGCAGTTTCTCTTTCCCACTACAGGTAAGTTCACAAGAGTGTCACAAAGTTGACACAAACAATTACACTGTTGATAATTTTTCCAGTTTATCACTGTGTCAATACAGGTCTATAAATATTGCTTATCCTCAGTAAGCAAAGACTTCCCATTCAAGTCTAATCTACTCCTTCTCTCATATTTAGCTCAGTTTCTGTTTAATGTAAGCCCTTTCATCAGAGTAGATTTACTTAGAATTCCCACCCTTGTGAGATTGGTTCTGAACTTTAATTAATGTTCACCTTGATACAATCAGCGCTGAAAGTCAGAACATATTTAACTTAAGTTAACTATAATAGAGGAATGCTTTTTTTTTTTTTTTGGATAACATCCAGCACTTTGACAAATACTCTGGTAAAGCTATTAGCTTACTTTGGTAATGTTTGATCATATCACTGATACTGGGAAAAGTAATTCTTGGAGAAATGTAATAGCCTCCATTGTCTAGACTCCTAATTTTGTAGTGCTTGACAACATCACCATGTTGTCCATCGTGATCCCTGATGGACAGAGAGAAGCTACCTGTGGACAAAAGAGAAGAAGTAAATTATGTATCATACAGCTACAATTCACAACATTAGTGACCAGTTCACATGTAACTAATGCAGACAACTCATGGGTTGTTGGAAAAGAGTACCAATGAGCAAGCTTGCCTTTTCCTGCTTTCAGTTAAGAGCTGAAGAATCATGTATTCCTGGATTGTTTTTCTGAAGTCTAAACCCAGAAACAACCAGTCAGCATGGCTGGCTGGCTGGCTGGCTTATGCTGGGACTAACTGTTAAACAAATCAAATGTAACCCATGATCTTCTGTTGGTTAAGTATGGGTTGTCAACTATGGGGACTGGACTGGACTGGGCCTCCGCTTTCCGCCACCCGACGGACAGCGGCCACTGAGGGACCGGGACCGGAGGACGCTGCAGCCGGCCTGCAGGCCCTCCATCTTCGCCAGCGAGTTTCTCCGTGGCCGCCCTTGCCCCCCCTTCCCAGCTGGTGTGGGTGGCAGCTGCGCCAGATTCGGTGCGGGGAGGGGCCGCTGGCTTAAGTCGCCGGCCATGGCTGGGGCCGACGGCTGAAGGGCAACGGCCTAAGGGCATCGGCGCCATTTGGAGCCATGCGTGGGCTGGGCTGGCCATAGACTTTGTGCGATGGAATTGTTGTATTTTGGGCGGTTGGTGAGTTTTATGGTTTTACTGTATTTTAAATTGTATTTTAGCTTAGACCGTTTTAATGGATTCACACCTGGCTGCTACCATGAGGTTGCCTGGGGAGCGCGTGGGCGCTAGCACTGGGGTGGTCTTGGGCAATGGTCATTATGGCGTTGGGGGTTTAACATGTCGGTGTAGGAGGGACAGATGGTTGACACCTGTTCCCCCTTCTAGTTATTCCCCCAGCTGGAAGGTTCCAGGTATGCTTATCAACCACCCCTCGGGCCTGACAGTGCTGTTGCTTAATGCCACAACAAAACATCCCTCATCCACAACTTGATTGTGGATGAGGGGGCTGACCTGGCTTGCATAACAGAGACCTGGGCGGGAGGGGGGGTTTCTGTCCCTCTCTTTACTGTGCCCACCCTGGTATCTGGTTCAGCACCAGCCACGCCCAGAGGGGGGGTTACTTTAATTTATCGGGCTTCTATCTCCCTCACGGGGCTTCCTGTTCTCTCAAGACCAGGTCAAGAGTGCCTCTATCTGGCGCTGGGCGATTGAGACAGATTGGGGATTCTGCTGGTGTACTATGCACCCTTCTGCCCATCAGACTTCCTGCCTGAGCTGATGGAGATCATCTCGGACCTGGTGTTGAAGACCCCCAGGATGTTGGTCCTGGGGAACTTCAATCTCCATGCTGAGACTGTCGAACCATGGGGCTGTCTCAACATGTCACAGGCCTGACCCATGAACGTGGACACACGCTGGACCTGGTTTTCTTGACGGGGCAGGAAGAGGGTGATCTGAGGGTGAGGAATTTGTGTCTGTCTCGCCTGTCATGGTCAGACCACTTCCTCATGAGGTTTGAGCTCGATGGCGGCCTTTCCCTCTGAAAGGGTGCGGACCCTATTGTGTTGGTTTGCCCTCAGAGCTGGATGGATCCGGATGGATTCCTGAAGGCTCTGGGAGAGTTTCCGGTTGACAAGGATGGCGCTCCTGTCGATGCTCTGGTTGAACTGTGGAATGGGGAAATGGCCAGAGCTATTGACACGATTGCTCCTAAGCATCCTCTCCCTCCCAGCAGAGTTCATTCATCCCCCCAGTATACACCTGAATTACGGGCAATGAAGCGGGTTGGGAGACGTCTAGAGCGTAGGTGGAGGAAATCACGGGATGAATCTGACCAAACACACAAGCTCACTATCAAGCCTATGCTGTGGCGGTGCGGGCGGCAAAGAAGAAATTCTTCTCCACTTCCATTGCTTCCTCACAATGCTGTCCAGCGGAGCTCTTTTGGGTGGTACAGGGGCTGGTACATCCAGACCCTAAGAAAGATCCTGTACCACCCTCATTGGCCCGCTGTGATGACTTTGCCAAGCATTTTAAGGAGAAAATCGCTCAGATTCGTCATGAGCTGGACTCCACTAGTGATTCAGAGCCCTTAGGGGAGCTGCCAATGTCTCCGTCTGGTCAGACATTATTGGATGAGTTTCAGTTATTACAGCCTGATGATGTGGACAAGGTGCTTGGACAAGAACGTCCCACCACCTGTTTACTTAACCCTTGCCCGTCTTGGCTACTTAACAAAGCCAAGCACGGAATTGGTGCCTGGATCCTGGATGTCATCAACGCCTCTCTGAGGGACAGCCGGGTGCCTGCCCCTCTAAAGGAGGTGGTAGTCAGGCCGGTCCTAAAGGCGTTGTCCCTGGATCCAGAGATGGCCGCCAATTATAGACCGGTGGCCAACATCCCATTGCTGGGCAAGGTGTTAGAACGGGTGGTGGTGGGACAACTCCAAGCACTCTTGGATGAGACTGATTAGCTGGACCCATTTCAGTCCGGCTTCAGACCCGGGTATGGTACTGAATCTGCCTTGGTCACCCTGTATGATGACCTGTGCAGGGAGAGAGACGAGGAATGCGTCCCTGTTGGTCCTCCTGGACCTCTCAGCGGCTTTTGATACCATTGACCATGGTATCCTTCTGGATAGGCTAGCAGGTCTAGGAGTAGGAGGCACTGCTTTGCAGTCATTCCGCTCCTACCTGAACGGCCAATTCCAGAAGGTGGTGCTAGGGGAGCTATGCCATGGAGTTCTGCAGGGTTCCATCTTGTCCCCCTTGCTGTTTAACATCTACATGAAACCGCTGCGAGAGGTCATCAGGAGGTGTGGGCTGCGGAATCATCAGTACGCTGATGATACCCAGCCCTACCTCTCTTTTTCTACCAATCCAAGTGAGGCAGTGGCTGTACTGAACCGGTGCCTGGCTGAGGAATGGGCTGGATGAGGGCCAATAAACTGAAGCTCAATCCAGACAAGACGGAGGTCCTGTTTGTGGGTGGTTTGGGCTCTGGGATAGGTGACTTGGACCTTGTCCTGAATGGGGTTGCACTCCCTCTAAAGGACAGAGTCCGCAGCTTGGGAGTGCTCCTCGACCCAGAGCTATCTTTGGAAGCTCAAGTGACTGCGGTGGCAAGGAGCGCTTTCCTTCAGCTTTGGCTAATCCATCAGCTGCGTCTCTACCTGAAGGACGATTGCCTAGCGACAGTGACACATGCATTGGTTACTTCCCGATTGGACTTCTGCAACGTGCTCTACGTGGGGCTGCACTTGAAGACAGTCCGGATACTTCAGATGGTGCAAAATAGAGCTGCCAGGTTGCTGATGGGGACTGGGCGTTACTCTCACATAACCTCAGTCCTCTATCAGCTTCACTGGCTCCCCATCGAAGTCGGGGCTCAATTCAAGGTGCTGGTTATCACCTACAAAGCCCTTAACGGCTTGGGACCTGGATACCTAAAGGAACGCCTGCTTCCATATTTGCCCTCCTGCCCCTTGAGATCAGTGGCAGAGGCCCTCCTCTGGGAACCCTCCGTGAAAGACATTAGGAGACTGAGTACCAGGAGGAGGGCTTTCTCTGCAGTGGCGCCCCACCTATGGAATACACTCCCCAGAGAGGTCCGCCTGGCGCCGTCGTTATTTGTTTTTTTGGCACCAGGCTAAAACCTTTTTATTTAAACAATATTTTAACAACTGTTAATATTATTTATTGGTTTTAATTCAACAGCCAGGGTGAATCTGGATATTATTTTATATGTACTATTTATATGCTTGTTTATTTATTGTATTGGAAGTCGTCCCGAGGCTCATGCAAATGGGACGGCCTACAAAACCCCAAATAAATACATAAATACATAAATTTCATAATAACAGTGGGGTAGCCCTGGATTATTGTGAGCCTGTGGAAAACAGCATAGTCATTCCCACTAGGAACTGGAAATTTCTGCCTGAAACAGCCCAAGAACTTCTGTTACATGCAAATGAAGTTGGTCTTTTTTATGTTTTCTGACTTGCTTAATGCTAAAACAATCACTATAGGAAACAAAGATTACTGGAAGAAAGACAGCAAATTCCATTTGATACAGTTTAGTAGCTTTTTAAAACAACAGCAACAGCCAACACCACAAACCCAGAGATGTTACTTTGAAAAAATACTATTTGAACACGGGAAATTCTCACTGGTTTGTAATCTTTTCCTTTATTTATTTATTTTATTTATTTAAAACATTTTTATGCCACCCCCATCGCAACAAAGCCTCGGGGTGGCTCACAAATATAACAAATTGTACAATAAAAATATTAAAACCCGGTGCATCTCGGCTTAAAAGATTTAAAATCCTATAAATAACCAATAAATTAACAATTAAAATAAGTTTTAAATAAAAAGGTCTTAGCCTGCCGCCAAAAAACAAATAACGACAGCGCCAGGCAGACCTCTCTGGACCTTTCTTTTATGCTTCATCAATATTCAGTTGATACATAAGTTTTTTCCCCATCATTAAGACTGATTTCAATTGTACTGTGTCAACAGTTAAAGAGTTAAGAATCAGGCTCATGACTGTAAGATACACAGGCTGAACCATACCCTGGTAACCTTCACCCAGTAGTCATAAATAAGTGTCCAAAAGAGATGGGAAAGGGCCTTCTACACAACACCCTGCTTTTAACCACTAATCCCAAATAGTTTCTTTTCCTCCATGTAGCACCAGTTTCAACCCACCATCAGAAAGTAGAAACGGCACTAAGACATAGAAACAGAGCAAGTCAGAAGGGGCCTCCCGGGCCATCTAGTCTGACCTCCGGTGCCAGCCGGCTCCGCTCATGACATGCCCACCAAGTGGACGTCCAGCCTATCCTTGAACATGCAACCTTCCCTACCCTGTTTCCTACAGGAGCAGTTCACAGCCAAGAAGGTGAGCACCAATGCATTCTAAGGAAACTAATCTCAGATAGAACTGGTTCACTTTCCCTTTCCCATCACTGAGAGGACATGAGAGCAACTGTATGGGTCAGAGCCTCTAGGCCAATAGTAATGACATGCAGAAGGCCCTAGGTCGAATGCCTGATTATTTCCACTATCCTTTAACTTGACAACAGAGATAGCTGCCAGGCTGAAGGGGTTAATGGAACCCTGACACAGTATGACAAGCTTCTATGAAATCAGGGTTCTTGAGCAAATGCTGGAACTATTCTGTTTTAATGTAAAAAAGTGTCTTTCTGATGGGAGCTGAGTGTGATTTTTTTGTCTCAAAATCATTTTAATAAAATTAGATAGGTTGGTCCTAGTTCAAATCAAGCGAAAGCTTTCTCTAGAAGCAAAAATAACAAAACTGAAATGGTCATACTTTGGACACATCATGAGAAGCAAAACTCCCTGGAAAAGACAATCATGCTAGGGAAAGCCAATGGCAAAAGATGACAAGGAAAACCAGCTATGAGATGGATAGATTCTGTGAAGGAAGCCACAGTCTTGAGTTCACAAGAGTTGACCAGGGCTGTCAATGAACCACAGGGCATTTTGGATGGATTCCCTTCATAGGGTCACCGTAAGTCATAGACAACTTGATGGCACATACAACAACAAGAAAGAGTGCTTTCAAAATAATGTGGTATAAAATATTATCTTCATATAATTCAAACGTGGTCAACATATGAGCTCTTACAAATGAATCCATGATTCCCTCTCACACACAGCAATTTAAAGCTTATTTCTATGAAAGGACAAAATATGATTTATGAGAGCAAACATTTTACACACATGAGAGATAAACTCTTTTTACCCATTGCCACCTTTTTTTCCCCTGTTGGTCCAGTTCATGGGCAGCATGTTGTGATCCTTTCCCAAGTCTCCATCCTGTACAATATTCACTCTGCCCAGTTGCTCCTGTCTTCCCCACTATAGCCCAAAGCCCATTCAAGTGGACAGAAAACTTCTCGATCTTCCACACAATTTTCCCATCCTGTGGTTTTTGTTTTGCTCTGTCCATAGCTGCATTTGGACCAGCAATAATGCCTTCTTCTCTCTGTCTATCCTTATCTCCTTCCTGCCTCCCTGCCTCTGCTGGCCATTTTAAGATGCCAGCAACTCCGTCGAATTGTCTCCCTTGCTCCCTCCTACTTTTCTTTCTTCATCTCCACTACTGCCTTAAGATAATAGCAGAAGCGCCCTGATCTGTAGCTGTGCCTTTTCCCTCTTCCCCATCTCTGCTGTCCATCTCTGCTCCCATGGAGCTGTCATCCATACAAACAGCCTCAATCCTAGAGTTGTTTTGCCAAGGGGAAGTGGAGAGTGCTTGGAAGGATCACTCCTATGTAGCCAGTAATTCCTAGATCGGTTTAACTCAGGAACTGTGCGTTATGTACAAACTTATGTAACTGGCAGCAATTCTACACGATTTCAGATAGGGGGTTGTTGTTTTGTTTTGCTCTATCTGGAGTTAAAAGCAGAACTTTCTCCACAGAAATCATGTGCTCTGTCACTGAACTATGACCTTTTCCTTATCTTTTCCCACATATCCTCTCACCCTTTCCTGATCAGAGCAGCAGTCAGGTAGCCCAGTGAGAAGCTGGTTGAGACTTGAGATGGCATTGCAATGGGAGAAGGCAAGGGAAAGTGAAACTACCTTAGGATTCAGCCAGCTCCACTTTGTTCCTTGGTGTCCTCAGGGAGCTGTCTGTGTGCACAGCTGGGTTCACTCTTCCCTCATCCTTTCTCCATCAGGATGATTTAGTTACTAACCATACTTCTGCTATAACATGTTGGTTTGGTCAGTAAATTTAAAGATTAAGAGATTATAAGTATGATTTACATCTATCCTATCTCTTGGTCTATTGAATTTAAATCTAATTTCTGCTTTTCTAGAGTCTCCTTCTCATACAAAGATTGTCAGGCATAAGAAACAAGATATGCATAGTTATTCTTGTACCAAAAGGCATCACACCAGCATGCTGCAGATATCAATGCCATTGGCTTATCTGGCTACAATGGCAGCTCCCACAAATGTTCACAGCTCTCTGCGGTTTTCCAATAAGAAACCCCATAAATGTTTCAAAAAGACTTTAATGCAATTTTTAGGGACCCTATGAAGATCCCAAATCTTAGGCAAAGTATTCTGAACCAATACTTTCAGAAAAACAGATGATAATGATCTAGAAGGGAAAATTAAGTTCTAATTCTACTATACTTAGACCTAAAGTTGCAAGGAAGAGACGCGATATCTCTACAACTTTTCACAATTGGGGGTTGGGGATTATTTCTACCTCTCATTTTATCAATATGAGAAATCAGGGATATTAAGGCTAGATTATCCATTATATTCTGTTGACAGAACAAAAACACATCTCTGTCCTCTATTACCTTTTATATTACTCTAAATCCCCCTTCTCAATTTAACACTTTTATATGTTTTCTATTGTCAATATTTATATACAGAACTGTTCTCTGCCTACCATGACAAATGCTGCCTTAAGGCTCACAGACTCAATGTCCCACTTTTTACAAACATTAGAGATTTCTACAGCATAAGGTAAAGATGTGGTCTACTGCGCTGTTTCTTCCTTGCACAAAACATGCACAATAATCTACAATGAGTTAGTACTTGGTAGTGAAAAATTTTAGTTCGCCAGGCAAGAAGTGGATATACAATTTCCAGAGGTCTAATTTATCAGGCTACTAAGTCCACAGGTCTTGAGTTTGAAAAAAAAGTTATGATTAAGCATTGAAAAGACTAATGGCCTCAATTAATGATTTCTATATATTGAAATAACTATAGTCATATATAAACAGAAAATATTGAGACAACTGCAGCTACAAAAATTTAGACTTAACATGGCAGAAGGCTGAGTTTACTTTTAATGCCAGTATAATTGAGAAAGCCTACCTTTCAATGTTTCACTCTCTCTGATCAAGAATGATCCAGGAGCATTTCCTGGGGCTAAAAGTTGCCTTTCTGCATCTTTCCTGGTTATGTCTTTAAAGAACCATCTGAAAAGTATTGGGGAAATAGTTACATTTTTTCTTCTTCAATAGGTGAAAATCGAATAGGTGAAAATCAAATTAAAATGATAAAGAAACCTACTCTTCTGTTTCTAAGGTGTTGACTTTTGCAACATAGTTGCTTGGGATAAAGCCTTCATTCTTGGTCAAAAGGGACTTAGCTTTCCACCATTCTCCATGTCTAAGAAAAAGAAAAGAGCAATGTCAACTAAATAAAAAAGACTGCATTGGCCATTTTCACCAGCATTGAGAAAGACTTAGGTTTCCTTGAAGGGAACACTATGATGTCTTCTGCCACAAATTTGAGAACTTTTATAAATTAAGTTTCTAAATCTGTTAGCCCACTTTCTGTTGCATACTGTTGGGCACCATATCAACCTTCCTATACGTCCGGGTAAGATATCGAGGATGATGTTAGCCATACCAATCACAACAGGAGAAAGTTTGACAAATGTATTGATTCAGCCATTTAGGGGCTGAAGATGAGACAGAGTAAGGAACTTCTAGCTGTTTGAATGCAACTCCTATAAGCCTCAAGCATCAAGGCTTATGGAGTTGCAGTTCAAAATATTTGGAGGGAACCAGGCCAACCTCTGGTATAAGCAGTGCACCTTTAAATGGAAAGATCTAGGTGATATGTGTCATGTGATATGTGTTAGTACACTGTATCTTCTCATACTATTTTCAAATGGGAAAGAAATATGAATATAGGAAACTGCCTCCCACCAGGTATTTGTTACAGCTGAGTATTATTTACTGTGGCTGGCAATATGTCTTCTGGACTTCAGGCAGAGGGCTTCCCGATCACCTGCCAGTTTACTATTTTATCTGGAGATGCCAGAAGATATAACCATAAGTTTAACAGGGAGCATGAAAACGATGTGCAGAGCAATGGTCCTTTCCAATAAATATAAGATGAATAATTAGATCTAAATAAATAAATAAATCTAATAGAGATGGACATATCCATCACTCAGATGAATAGCCGAATTTCAAAAACTCAACATTTGGTTGAATTTGAAAATACAATGTCTGGTCCATTTTCATATATGCAAGACAGAACTCATTGTGGTACAACAAACACTAATTAATATTATGACAGATTCAATGGTTAAAAACATGGAATGTGTTATTAGGCACAAAACTCAGATTTCAAAGAATGTTGGTTTCTTTGTTTTTTATTTTGTAAACACAAGCATCTGTTCCCTATGGACTTGACAATAGGCTTGAAAACATATGAAAAACATCAGAGAAAAATATCAGAAACCAAAGAGAAAGCCGAATAACACTTCCAATTGTCATAGGAAAGATGTGTGCAACCTGCTCCAGTGATGTACCATAGAAGCAAAATTATGTGAAGTAACCAGCTAGGAAAGCAGCCAAACTGATTTGTTTAAGGAATGTTTATTCTGTCAGCACAAGTGACCTTAGAGTAGCTATCAGTGAAAAGATTAGGCTGAGAGTGGTCACTCAGTGAGCTTCATGGTCAAGTATGGATTTGGACCTGGATATCTCTGGCACTACCTCCCTACTTCAACCGCATTTTAATCACAGCATTTACTGTCTTTAAACACACACACATTGGACTTTTGAGATTAGTATGGCCAACGTTATCCTAATTACTAGTTTTAGGATAACTTAATTGGTATGATTAAGGCCAAAGAGTAGAATACTTCTATACTTACTCCTCCAGAATCTTCATTTTTTCTCCTTTTTTGAAAGACAAATCATCTTCATGAATGCCATCATAAGGATACAAGGCTATTACAATGTCCTGATGTTCCTTTTCTTCCTCTAATACAGAAAGTCAAGAGACAGAGGCTTATTCATTTATCACATTCAACAAGTGGCGATTCATATTTCCACTGGCCCTTAGAAACATACCTTCCTTACAGAACCTCTGACCTGGTAAAAGGGCATCATCATGTGCCTAGAACAAAAGCAAAGGTTAATATATCAAATGCATAGACTCAGATGAAAAAAATTAGAACATACTTTAAACATAGCAGCTTGAAATGTATTTATTCTTAATACTGAAGTTGTTTGGAAAAGAATGCAATTGGACAACATTAAAGCTACATTGTCTATGTACAAACAGATCTTAGAATTAGTCTGGTCAAACTGTACTCCAGAGATATTTCCTTTATTCTTATTCCTAATGATGCAGCAAGAAAAAGTAAATAACGATGATGGAGAAAAAGGCTTGCTATGCACAGCTTTGCAATACATATTGAGAAATCGAAAAGACAAGCACACAGGTGGTTGCAGATAAAATGATGCTGATCAATAAAACCCAATCCCTAAATTGCCCTTCTAAGTTAAATGTATTTTGAATATTACATAACACCTTTTTCTGACTCTGCCACCAAAATAGTAATTGCTAATTATGATATTTCTTGATAATCTATTAACAGTTTAATATTTGTTGACATTTTCCTATTTAATCATTTACCTATTTAATAAAGCAAAGCTCCTCTTGATAAATAAATTTTGCTATTTAGGTTTATAAAACCTTTCTACAATAATTATAGTCCAAATTTTGAGGTCTTGGTTAAATAGCCATATAGCTTAATATGACCTTGGTAAGGGCAGATTCTTACCCAATTTAATCTATAACCACTATCCTAGCTTCAGATCATGATTTTGATAGACTTTGGGTAGACTGACTAGCTATAACTAGCTAGTTAATTCTTTAACCATAAACAATATGGTTTGTGAATCTGTAATAAGATTGCAGAGGGAATCCATCTGGACCAAGTGATTAATTGTTTTTGCATTTCTTAATGCGTAACACTACTTCCTGAACTGCAGTATGTGCATCTACAAAACATTCAATTCCAAGTGAATAAAAGCTATCAATGCAAAACTAGGAAAATAATTAATTGTAATTAATTAACTCAAATTTGGAAAGATCTTCATAAAATAACTGGAACTGTGATATTTCCTGTGCTGCTTTTGCAACTCTACCTCTGTATTTTATTGGAGGGGGACTGATTTCTTTTTCTAGTCTCCTTGTAAAACCTAATTTGGTACCAGTGCCAACACAACTGATTTCTAATTAAAAACAGCAGCAGCAGCGGCGGTGGCGGCGGCGGCAGCGTTTGTTAGTGAGATGGGCTTTCCAGGTCATGCTGCAAATGGCACAGAATAATAAACACAATGATGCTTATGACTATTTAAACTATACGTGTACGGTGGTGGTAGAAGGGGCTGTACTAAGTAAATAAAAGAAATGCACATGCACATATCACGTGTCCTATTTACATTATATTGTTTTTAGATGATTGTCTTTTAAATGCATGCAAGAGGTGAAGTATTGAGGTTCCCTATTCCTGTAAATTTAAGGGGGAAAGTGTATAACACATAAAAGTCCAGTTCACATATGACACCTAGGCGAGGAGAAAAAGGTGTCCATGTGAAGCATCCATTGTTTCTCAACCCATGTGGTAGTAATCAAATGCAATATCACAGTCCCTAATTCCATTACAACGCCACAGAAATAGCCTGTCCTTATAAAGGATTACACATACCTAAAATAGTGATACTATGAATGTATTTAATATATGTTGAAACATTTTTTTAAAGTGTTGCCACTTTCTTTTGAAACACCATGCTCCACAAGGAAAATAAATTCTAATAAAATTATTTTCATAGTTATTTTAAAATCATAGTGATGCTTGTTAAGAACGAACTACCATAACTATTAAACCAAAATTCAAATTGACTGATAATGGCAGGCAGTGCATTCAGTGTATTTGCTGAACAAGCAGTGGAAACTCTAGTTCCTGGATTTCAGACACATTCATTGTGTGAGTCTTGTGTTGCCAAGTCAAATTACAGATGGGAAAAGTATATTTTCATATTCATTTCTGCAAGTTTCTTTAAAATATAAATTTAAGATATGCCAGTCATACTGTGATCTCCCTATTGGAATTCTTCCCTGATACTATCTACTTACTGGCCTTTGCTGTTTATTGGACGTTGGATCCCTCACATAAATAGTTCTTTCAGTTTTACGTACTGGTTGGGTCTTCAAATCTAGCCCATCTCCATGCAGAGTGTCTTTCCGTTTGGATTTTATACATCCCATATTTTCCTGTTGGAACAAAAAATGATTAAAGAAAAACACTTCACTATGTTTCCATGCTATCTAGTTTGTCTTCCACCAAAGGTATGAAACAGTGATGGTCTACAAGGGAGAAAGGCTTCCTCTGAAGTGGTATGTCTGCCATGCTGCAAAATGCATCTATTTACGCAGGCAGTCTAACAGATTTCAGCTGATGTCATCTGAGAAAATCTTGGAGTGCTTCCAAATTAGGTGATCATTGTACCATCACCCTACACCAGTCACAGATTTTAATGGGGATCCAGATCATGATGGTGTCTTCCAGGCATAACTCTTCCATATTTCCAACTTCTTCTGTCTTGTTTCTTACCACAGAAAAACCATTAAGGAAAAACAGAATAACTGTACCAGGTTTACTGGTGGGTGTTACCCCACAATCAGGAAGCACCTATAGTCTAAGGTTTTATACACTGACCCATCCTTGTCTTTGCACTTCATTGCATTGATCTATGCTATATACGGTTTTTGTGTTGTATAGCACCCTGAAAATTAATATGATGGAATATTATATTATACCACATATAATATTTGCCTAAATCCTCCCTCCTAAATACAAACAAAACCCTATCATCTCTAGCTCTACTTTGAGAAACTGGATTTTCCTATCTTTATTTATTTTATTATTTTTTCAATTTATATCCTGTCTTTTTCCTCAAAGGGCTCAAGGCAGCTTACATCTCCTCCTCCATCTTATCCCCACAACAACAACCCTGTGAGGTAGGTTGGGCTGAGAGTCTGTGACTGGCCCAAAGTCACCCAGTTGGCTCCATGGCTGAGCGGGGACGAGAACCCAGGTCGTCTGAGTCCCAGTCCCATGCTCTTAACCACTACACCACACTGGCTCTCTTGCCAGGAACTAGACAATTCATAACCAACCAAATTGACTTAGTTGTAGCCACTGCTGTAACATGAGGTACAAGAGACATGACTATTTCTTCATGATGTTTTATTATGAATAAATTGTTAAAGACAATTTTATTTACATTTTTAAAATAAAGGAATAATTTCAGAAAGAAGTCGTTCACTCATAGTTTGGAGTGCATTTTTAAAATTTCAGGATGAGGTGATGACTAGAACATGAAGGACTGGGGAGGAAACTTAAAACAAATTGGGGAAAAAACCAAAATAATTTTATAAAGGTGGTTTCCCCCATTTTACCCCGTATATATTTTTGAACAATTGGGTGATGGACAGTCTGGTTTTTTTCCAAATGCTCTTCCTCCCCACCACCCTGCTTATTTGCCAAGTTTTCATGTCTCTAATACTGACTCATGCCAAGCAGTTTAGACAAAAGTATGAAGTTTGTTTATTGATGACCTTTATCTCTTGATCACAATAAGTTTCCTATTTCCTCTAACAAACTGGTTTAACTACAAATGATGAAAAATATATTTCTTCTTCCAAGCTGTGCTGTAGCAAAGTCTGTTCAAGATCTGAAATGGTAACATGCATTATGATGTATTATGTGCCATTGTCTACATGAAAACGTTTTTGGTTCCTTGAAGAAACAACTTTATTAACTAGTAAAGGCTTCAGCTACAGAGCTATATGAAACTTTCTCCTTCTCCAGAGGGGCCCATGCCTTGTCCAACCTTGTTCCTCATTAACATCAATGTATACACTTCTTGAAGATCTCTTAAAGGAGATGGTATGCCATTGCTGCACCTCTTTTTTTTTTTTTAACAAACACACTCACACTGTTAATTTTAAGAACAAATATTCACATTTCTCAGTAAGTCTCTCTGACACTCTTCAGCTTCTGCTTGTTCTGCGTAAAGCCACTTCAGGCTCCTTTTCAACAACAGGATTCTATTTTTTTCTGTCCCTCCAGACTGTCTTCTGAAACACTTTCCCAACAGAGTCCATCTGTAACCAGTTGCTGTTTCCAAATTCCATTCTTTTCTTTTGACTCAGAAACAAATTAATTTTTGCATAAGCTTGTTTCCTCTCTCACACCTGTAGAGAACAAGATCTGCTCTTGATTGGGTTCCATCAATATTGGTAAACAAGTCTGCAGCTTTCAGTTAAACAACAGTTCAGCAGCTGACAAACCCTGTGCCAATGGAACTGACTGGTGATTTAAAATAACTATACAAGAGTCCTCACTTGAGAAAAAAACTTTCTTCAATCATTGTTTGATTTTGATTCCCATTCTTTTGACCTCCATATTCTACAACCCAATGGGATAACCTGAGCTGGATGTTTTATGCCAAAACCTATACACTCTAGAAAAGGTTTTAAATTCAAGGCTAGAAAACTGAGGGTCATTAGCAGATATAATTGCGTGAGGTATCCCATGAAAGGAAAAAAAATGCTGAATAACCTGTAACACTTCTACCATCCAATGAGGTGATTTCAGGGTAGAATAAAAATAATTTAGAGAAGATAAACTTTGCCTGCCAATGTAATAGAACAATTCCCATATTATACCACGACCCTTGTAGTTTATTATCTGCTTACACAGATGCCTTCTTGTTCCTAGGCTACTATGTCTGGCAAGCATTTATGATTTACAGTTTCTACAGCAATACACATACCTGTATAACAATACAATATTTGGTAATATGAACCATCCAAAGTCCTCCTGCATTTTAATGCAGAAATGAATTTAATGTATTCTTTCAATCATATATGCACTTAAGAGTTGTAGTAACAACTATTCACTTACCCTTGAACAAAACACAATCTATTACTCACAGTTCTGCCATGAATTGATAAAACAGAGCAGGAAGTCAGTGGAGTGGCCAACCATAAGTGATGGCTATTATAACTTTTAGCAGTACCTCATCCTGTGTACAACAATATGTTTTTTTTCCCCATATCTCATTCCAAGTCCAAGTAATTTTGTTATATCTTATTGCCAGGCAAGACAGTCATTTCTAGTACATTATTAACAGTTATATCAATTGTCCTGGACAAAGCACCTTCAATTTCCAAGTCCTTACCGGGTTTGTATTTCAACTGCAAAACATGCAATTGTAGTTAAAAGAAAAGTCTGAAGCCTCTGAGGTATGTCAGTTACTCCCTTTCTTGCAATAGTTACCAAAGGGCTTGTGGTCCATTTCAGTCTTGACTGATCTCTCATATACAAAATCCATGGCATTTTTGCTTCCATAAACCAAAGCTAGAGCTTCTTTTTATTTGTGCATATAATATTTTTGTGTCTGTGAGAGCTCTGGACACATATGCAGCCATCAAAGAAAGTGTCCAGGGTACAGAACCATCATGAGCACCATGATGCCAATTCCTAGTCTATAGCCTCATGATACATTTATTAACAGGAGTTAAATAGCATTACCTTATAGTAGCCTTGCCCAAGCTCATGCCTTTCTCAATGTACCAGACTACAGAGTCTATCATCCCTAGTCAGCTGCTCATGCAGGCTAGGCATGATGACTGTTGCAGTTCAGCACATCCTGAGTGGCCCAGATTGGGGAAAGCACTTTTTTGTTGTACAGCATAAGCAAAAGAATGGATCTTTTGCATGCATGTGTAGGATAGCCAATTGTACTTCATAACTCCTACACATAAGTAGAGGTTCTGAATAATGCAGAACATGCTTAATATCACAGCATGTGCTGAGCAGAATGATAATGCCCAGGTTAGAAAGGGAGTTATGTCTGCATGAATTCCATTTTCAGCAGTCCTGCTAAGAGAACGCTTTCCTTAGTCTACATCCTCAACTACACCAACACCAGCCATCCCAGTAACCTGTAATAGAGGGAGAGGTGATGGGAAACAGGGCCATTCCTTTACCTTTGCTGAATGTTACCCTACTGTTCCATCTTCGTTCCTCATCCTTTCCCCTCCTTTTTGTCACGTCTTTTTACACTCTTAAGCCTGCAGCCAAGGATTGTATTTTTTATGTAAGCCCTCAGGATACTAATCATATGTAAGCTGCTCCAGGAGCCTTTTTTGGCTGAGCAATGGAATAAAAATGTGTTAAATAACCAAATATAATATAAATACAACCCCCTTACTCCTGGGACAGGCATCCTACAGCCAGTATATCATCTCCAAGATTTGCATCACAGGCCACTACTGTGTTGTAACAATCCCAAGAATCCCATATTTCACTCGTGTGCATGTCTACGCATAAAAATTTTTATTTTTTTATTTTTTTTATTTATTAAAACATTTTTATGCCGCCCCATTCGCCGAAGCCTCGGGGCGGCTTACAACAATAAAATTACCACTGTCATGATCTTAAAATGAATATGAATGTATTACAGGAAATTTTTTCATTCCTATTCTAATCTCTCTGAGGGCAAAACTTATTAATATAATTTAATGCAGACCTAACATTCAGTTTAGAAATAAACATATTATTACTGCTTCAGGTCCACACAGATCAGTACAGTGCCAGCTGAAGTCTCTATTAATTTCAGTGAGAATGTTCAATCAAAGCAGACAGAAAAAATAGGTATCAGTTACTGTTCATGCCTGAAGAATCGTTGCACTAACAACTAAAAAGGGAAACAGATTGGGTTTTTAATGATAAAACAAGAGACTAGAATGAAACTTGTTAGAACCTAGCTGAACAAATCAGTCACCAATGAAACAGAAAAGGGGATTTCTGGAGTCACCTATTTATGATGAAAAAGTATACATTTCATCTTAAGCAATCAAATGCAGATCAGCAGGCTTTCACAACTTGGCATCTTCTGGATGCTCTGGACCATAGCAACCAGCACTCCTGGCTATTGGCCATGCTAGCTGGAGCTGATGGGAATTGCAGTCCAAAACATCTGGGCAGCACCAGGCCAGGCAATGTTCCTGATGCCAAGTTTTTACTCAGGAGATGTTATCACCAAAACTGAGCAATGTAATGGAAATGAATAGTGTATGAAAAGTAGGAGTTTCCCCAAAAGTCATCATAATCCTTGAAGTGCCAGCCATTGTGCCAGTCAAACACCACCACCCAGTGGAAGGAGTTCTCCAGGAAAACCTCAAGCTTTAAAAAGTACAAA